TCACCGCTATTATTCACTCCGCGTTCAAACGGTTTTTATCTGGCAACATTACACCGTTCAAATCGCGAATTATCCCGATATGTTTTGGTAAATTAATAAAATTGAAAACGACTCACCGAATGGATGTTGCTTCCCTTGGATTGTACTTCGAAGCTCAGCTGGAAAGAAAAGATAAATTAATTTATTGCGACATAAAAAGTGAATCAATACCATACCTTTTAACATCCAGAAAATTGCAATCCGATGATCTCAACTATATCACATCACTAATATCACCTAACACTTAGCACAAATATAACACTTATTTATCACTTAATTCAAATAAGTTTTATTTTTCGAAACCACTTTATCATCCTTAAATGCCCGCACATCAACTAAAACGCGTTATTAGCGAATCAACATCCAAACATCCCCTCCTTAATTTATTGTGTAAAGAAGGAATACTGAAGGTGAATAAACAAAAAATGTAAAGACGACGGGGCGAAGCGGTTTTAAATCGTGTTTTGGTTTTAAAACTCAACCTTTCAATAAAAAAATTACTCGTTTTCNTGAAATGCCATAATTGGTCTCAATTTGCTACCAATTAATACCTTCAGTACACTCATAACGTATACCAAATTTGGTTTTTCTAGCTTAATGTATTATGAAGATATTCAATGATTTCAAAATTTAAGACCCAACTTTGAAGGCCTATAACTCCTGAGGAGTACAACTTAGTATAGAGGTAAGTTACGTTAAATCATCTTAATTTATTGTCCTCTACATGTCCCTGCTCTGTGTCGGTTCTTATGTGAATCACCCTGTATATTTCTGTTCTGATAGTTTTCTAAGTTTTATTTGAACAACGTTATAATAATTATAAAACTAATAGTGTTAGTTTTAATCTTTTAATATTTTGATCTCTACAATTTTTTTTAAAAAAAAACAAGTAAGTTTACACCATTTTTGTTCTGGTTCATTTTGGTTGTGTTTCTCCCTATTTTATATATTTTATTTTATTTTATTTACAATTCTAGATAGTTCCCCCTATTTTAAAAAATAATTGTTTTTTCTATTTGCTGTTTGAAATCGATGATATTATCGAGATTCAAAACTAGATACTACTAAATTTCTGACGGTAATTATTTTAATATGTTTTTTGTATAATTTACTAATGAATGTTCTTTTAATGTAGTCGTGCCTGATGACGAGATATTTTCTCGAAACATATGTTGCACCAATATCATTTAATAAATAATTTTTCATCGTACTTAATCTGAAGTTTATTATTATTAATATATTTTCACGATGAACCTGGATTACGCGTTGGCTTCAATGTAAAGATTATTTTCTATAAATAATTCTTTTTAAATAAGTAAATATATCATGAAAACATATGGAAAAGATTAAATTGAATACCACATAATTTGGCAGCCAAAAATTCCCAAAGAAATCATTTTATTTGATACAAAAAAAGAGACTCCCCCCTTAAAAAGCTTGAATTAGATTATACTAGTATTATTTGGAGTGCTTTACACTCAATTTCAAATTATTTCATGTTTTGACTATGTTAATAATTAAAGCTTTATTATTTTTCAAGCACAAATCCAATGAGTAGCGTTCAAACGGTTTTTATTTAGCAACATTACACCGTTCAAATCGCGAATTATCCCGATGTTTTGGTAACTTAATAAAATTAAAAACGACTCACCGAATGGATGTTGCTTCCCTTGGATTGCACTTCGAAGCTCAGCTGGAAAGAAAAGATAAATTAATTTATTGTGACATAAAAAGTGAATCAATACGATACCTTTTAACATCCATAAAGTAGCAATCCGATGATCTCAACCATATCACATCACTAATATCACTTAACACTTAGCACAAATATAACACTTAAAGTGGGTTCTTAAAGTGTTTTTGTTTTAGTCATAGTCATAAGCGTTTGCTTTAGCTGTAGCTATAAGAAAAGGGATTATTTCATGCAATATTTAAGCACAACACATTAAAGGAGAATTTTGACATATAAACAGTCGTGCCACAACTCGTACCAAATTAAAAAAAA